GGCGGCTGGGCGGGCCTCCTAAGCGGGTTGGGTCTTTTTTCGTTGCCTAACCCGGAGGACGAAGCAGCCGAAACTGAAGAAAACAAATCGAAGCTTGAGTTGATAGAAGCGAAACTTCGACCGCAACCTCCGTCCTCTGCGAGTGCAAGCTTCGTGTTCGTTTTGAATATATTAAAAGCGTATAGCCGCGCGGCTATACTGTAAAAATATTCGAATATATTAACATTTATACTTTTAATATATACGGAAGTATTTAGAAAGTATAGCCGTTCGGCTATACGTTTAAAATTTTGTAATATATAGCCGATCGGCTATACCCTTGAGATATACAATTTTGTAAATACATTGCTGCGAGATGATTTGAATTTTATGAAATGTTTCCAATAAGGAAAAAAAGAAGAATTTTATTGATTATAAAATCAATAGTCTTTTTTCTCTTGGGTTGAAAGTAAGATCAGTGTTCTTCCAACTGAAGGCATCCCCAAAGCACACGTTACATCCCATGGTAAATTGTAAACGTGAAATTTACAGCTTAAAGTCTTCACTTGAGCCGATAGGTATACAGCCTATAGTTATTACACTTTGAATTGATATAGAACTATATATGTATAGGGGGTGGATCCATGACACTATATTTTTGACATAGAGTCCTAACTCACGTGGATGGGCGACCATGCCCTCTAAGAAACTGAAGATGGAACAAGGGCCATAAGTCAGCTGTATTTTTTTTCGCTGCTCTGTTTTGGTTTATGTCTCCTGCTGTTCTGGTTTTGTTTCTTAAAATGAAAGAGGTTTGTTAAAAAAATTGAGCTTTTAGACCACAAGTCCAACTTCATCCCACCTCACATATATTAATTTTCCAAAAAGACAATTAATGTACAAACAAAAAACGAACATAACAGCAAATTATATTACCCCTATATCTGCATGTCTAATGAAATGAATTTAGGGGGCCTTCTGAAACCAAGGCTCACTCCAAAAGCTCATACAAGAGGATATTGATTGGCACTACTTTTGCCGGTGCTCTAGTACTAGTAATGGTGCTATACATCGGGTTCCACCTACAACGAAGAAAAAAGTTTGTACTTTCAGCTGGTATATTCTTTAAACTTTATCTGTACATGTTAAACATAATTTTCGCATCTTTAACAATTGTGTCAAATTTAAAATCTTAATTGTCTACACGATGAATCTAAACAGGCGATAGCAGGACAAACAGTCTGAACGAATTGCTCAACTTCATGATATATAATAGACCTACCGATGATTTTGATGGGCTTCAAAATGATCATGGAAACATGGGACGTCATGCTTTAAGCATATTTAGCTTTGCATCTGTCCTGGCTGCCACCTGTAACTTCTCTGAAGATAACAAGCTTGGTGAAGGGGGCTTTGGACCTGATTATAAGGTAAGGCTTAAAGTGATTAAACAAAAAAGTATACCAATAGCAGAGAAATATAATAGTTTTTTTGGGGACAACTGAAAAATATTATGAATTACCGATTCAGGAAAAATTGGCGACAGGAAGAGAAATAGCTGTAAAGAGACTTTCCAAATGCTCAAGACAAGGAACATTGCAGTTTAAAAATGAATTAAGACTTATATATGAACTCCAACATACAAACCATGTTCAGCTCTTTGGATTTTGCATCCATGGCAAAGAGAGGATGCTGATATATGAGTACATGCCAAACAAAAGCTTGGACTACTTTTTATTTGGTTGGGAAATTTGCCTTCGTTAATCTTTGTACTGGATTTCATTTGTTCAATTTGTTATATGAATTTTAACAAACTGTCATATATTGGACAGAATCAACCAGAGGTTTGCTCCTAGTTTGGAAGAAGCATTTAAGTATAATTGAAGGAATCGCTCAAGGGTTGCTTTACTTGCACAAGTACGTACTCGAGAAGGAAAGTAATTCATGTGGATTTAAAAGCTAGCAACACACTACTTGACGAAAATATGAACCCCAAATTTCAGATTTTGGTATGGCAAGAATTTTCACCCATAATGAATTGGAAGAAAATACTATTAGGATTGTTGGAACATGGTAATTATTAGTACACATTCTTATTACTACCCACATGTTGCTTTGTCATGCATTTCCATAGATCTGTACAAGAAGCTTTTTCTTTCTCATTTGGTGCAGTGGGTACATGTCTCCAACATCATGGAGGGAACTTCTTCAATAAAATCAGATGTCTACAGCTTTGGAGTGTTAATGCTTGAAATCATTAGTGGCAGGAAAAACAACAGATTATACAAAGAGGATTGTGTGCTCAATTTAGTAGGATATGTATGTCAAACAAATCTCTGCAGGCATGTTTATACTTTTCTTCTTTTTAAGATGTGATATTCGTTCTCATTAATCTTGGTTCAGGCATGGGAGTTGTGGAATGAAGGTGGAGGGCTTGAATTAATGGATCCAAATCTAGGAGATTCATGTATTAAAGATCTATTCTTAAGATGCATGCTTGTTGCTCTCCTTTGCGTGGAAGAGAATGCAGCCGATAGCCAACTATGTCAGATGTCATATCTATGATGACAAGTGAAAGCATGGAGTTAGCTATGCCAACAAAGCCAGCATTTTACACAGAAAGAAACGTGGCCACTGCTGCTCTAGCTAGATAGAAAGGGACCACAAGTTATATTGATAAAATTATTTGTCCAATTCCGATCTGGTGATGAGTTACTTGTGTAGAATTATGAATCTAACATAAGGAAGTTGTTATTGTAATAGGATGACGTTTATATTACAGCAACTGTGTGTGAATTCACTAAAACCCATTTCCAGCTAAGAATTAATGATTGGACATTTATCAATATCTTACTGTCTTTTATCAGAAACTTGACTTGGCTTCTTTTTTAATGAGCCTGCTAGTTTGAAACTTCAGCTGTGACTCATTACCTACCAGTATGAGAAAACGACAGTGCTTTCAAATTCAAATCTCTCCTTCCCATCTACATTAATTTTCAAACCTTCAGCAAATGGGCTTTGCATCTCTTAACCAGAAAATTAATATTATTCATCATGATTAAGTACAAGTGTTCCCTTATATATTATGTTTATTCCTTTTAAATAACCCTCGATGGTACGAGGAATTTGTTTAGTTATTCTTTTTATTACAATTTGGAATTATCGTTTTCCCACAAATACGACTCCAACCAGGAGCCAAGTGCCTTGTGAAGAAAGAAAAGCAAAGAGAAAAGAAAGGAAGATATAACTCTCTCCAAGAGCACAGATGGATGATGGATATGGTGTGTCCAGAAATATTAAAAAGAGTGAGTCAAACTATTTCCCTAATTTTTAAATCAAATAAAAGAAAACAAAGTCTTCATATCGAATTGTAAGTACTTTATTTAATGCCTAAACTATTTCAATTAAGTGTTCATGATCATCTGGAGAAATTAACTTCCTGACCTGTTGATATCCATGGCTACCGGTTTGATGATGATCAGCTCAATTATCTTCATCATTTCTGCTTCCTTGTGGACTTGCCATGATGCTGCAAGTGACACACTCAAACCAGGGGACACTCTCAATTCCTCAAGTTCCTTAGTATCTGCATCGGGAAAGTTCAGTTTGTATTTCTATGTATATAATGATGGTTCCAACAACAACAGCTATCTAGCTATCCTGAACAAAGAAGCTCCAAACAATGTATGGATTGGCAACCGAGACACACCTATTGTATACCCTTCATCCGCAGTTCTGACCTTGGACTGGAATAATACATTGAAACTCACTCACCAAGGTGGAGACCCTATTGTCATTTCCTCTGCTCCACAAACTAGTAATATTAGTACTAGTGTTGTGGCTACCCTTTTGGATTCTGGCAATTTTATACTGCAAGAAGTGAACTCTACGGATGGATCGACAAAGCAGGTTTGGTGGCAAAGTTTTGACTATCCATTTGACACATTTTTACCTGGCATGAAGTTAGGTATTAATCATAAGAGTGGCCATCTTTGGTCGATGTCATCATGGGCTACTTACAACAACCCAATGCCAGGGCCATTCACTCTTGATTGGGATCCCAATGTACACCAATTGCAAATCAGGCTACAGGGGGTGCTTTATTGGACTAGTGGAGTCTTTACACGCAGTAGTAAAACGTTCGAATTTATTTCGGCTGAGGTGTCCAAGCTGAGGTATAATTTTAGTGTAGTTTCAAATGAGAATGAAGACTACTTCACTTACACTGCTGTAGATCATGATCAAAGTGATCAGGAACCACAATGGGTGCTAACCTTTATGGGGAGATTTCATGATGGATCCTTTAATTTCACACAAGCAGAGAACTGTGATGGCTATAACACAGGTGGAGGGTGTGTGAGAAGGGATCGGCCAAGTGATTGCATGGCCAAATTCGATGATGAATTTGAGCTCAAAAATGGTTACTTCAAGATCAACAACTCTAGTAATAGTTCGAGATCCCCATCCTGGTTTAGCACTAGTAGTAGTGATTGTAAGGCTACCTGTTGGCAAAATTGTGATTGCCTTGGATTTGACATTCCACTTGCTAATGGGACTAGCACCGGGTGCCGATTTTGGAGTGTAGACTGTCAATTCTTTGAAGACCTCACTGCAAGTAACAGTTTTGTCTTGTCAGGACATGCAACACCAGCAAAACCACCATCTGCCAAAAAAAATGGTAAGTCTAGCTGCCAATTTTGGTATCTGTACTTCACAAGAGACAGTTAATGTGCAAATAAGCAACGAACTTTAAATAGAAACAAATTAGCACAATAAATAATTAATATACTCTGTAAATTATGCAGGACATAAGTGGTTGTGGGTTGGCATTGCCATTGCTGCTGCAGTACTTGTAGTGGTGTTCTGCATCTATCTTCTAAGAAGAAGAACAGTTTCAGGTATAAATAATCTTTAAGCCCCGTGCATTTGTTAGACAGAATTTACACGTTTGACATTGTTGACCTAAATTCAAATCTTTTCTCCACCAATCTAAATAAATAGGCAAGAACAGAGCAAATATACAGAACAAAATGCTTAGCTTCATGAAACATTCCAACAGACCTACTGATGAAGCAAATATGGGACAGCATGATTTAAACATATTTACCTATGAATCTGTCTTGGCTGCCACTTGCAACTTCTCTCAAGAAAACAAGCTCGGAAAAGGGGGCTTTGGACCTGTTTATAAGGTAAGGCCTTGCATACTAAACTGTGTAGTGATTTCTTTTCTTTTTTGAAACAATTTTGAGAATCTATTCAGGGAAAATTAGCGAATGGACAAGAAATAGCCGTGAAGAGGCTTTCAAAATGTTCCGGACAAGGAACGTCAGAGTTTAAGAATGAATTGATACTCATACATGAACTTCGACATAGAAACCTTGTTCAGCTCTTTGGATTTGCATTCATGAAGAAGAGAGGATGTTGATATACGAGTACATGCCAAACAAAAGCTTGGACTACTTTTTATTTGGTTGGGAATTAAAATCATTTTAATCATCGTGCTTGATTTCATTTGTTATTTGATTTTCAATCACTGTCAAAATATGTATATTACAAATAGTATTCTTCCTTAACTCTATATGTGACAGATTCAATCAGAGGTGTGCTACTAGATTGGAAGAAGCGTTTCAATATAATTGAAGGAATCGCTCAGGGATTGCTTTACTTGCACAAGTACTCAAGAACGCGAGTAATTCATAGAGATTTAAAAGCTAGTAACATACTACTTGATGAAAATATGAACCCTAAAATTTCCGATTTCGGTATGGCAAGAATTTTCTCCCACGATGAATTGGAAGAAAACACCAGCAGGATTGTCGGGACATGGTTAGTAAAATGTCTGTGTGTTCACATTATTATCATATGTTCTACTTTTGGTTACTAAACATGCATGTTTGAAATATATGTATTATGTACTAATTAAAGCCTTTTCCTTTTCACTTGGTGCAGTGGTTACATGCCTCCTGAGTCCGTGGAGGGAATTGTTTCTGTAAAATCTGATGTCTACAGCTTTGGGGTGTTGATGCTTGAAATCATAAGCGGGAGGAAAAACAACAGCTTCTACAATGATGACCGCGCACTCAATTTAGTAGGATATGTATGTCAAACAAATCTTTGCATTTATAATTTCTTCTTCTCAAGGTGTGAATTCAACCATTCGGATATCCTAAATGCTTATATATTTCAGGCATGGGAGTTATGGAAACAAGGTTCAGGGCTAGAATTAATGGATCAAATGGTAGGTGATTCATCATGTATTGAAGATCAATTGTTAAGATGCATCCACATTGGTCTGTTATGTGTAGAGGAAGATGCAGCCGATCGGCCTACCATGTCAGATGTGATTTCTATGTTGACAAATGAAAACCCACCATTAGCCTTACCTACAAAGCCAGCATTTTTTGTTGGGAGGAAATTGGTGGAAGCTGGTATAGGTGAAATGCAACATGAAATTACATCAGTGAATGACTTGTCCATTTCCAATTTTGATGCACGTTAAGCTTGATCTTCAGAGGGTGCTAGCTTGTGTGTTCCCTGTATTAAAAAGATTATTATCCTCTTTACACATATTTCTTGCGTATTAAGTTTTTGTAAGTTATTAAATTGGCATTATGTATAACAACTTCACTAGTTATTCATGTGTGCATTACTATGTATAAATCTTTATATCGGTTGCCCGTTGAGAATATATGTATTGATCATGATGTTGACAGATGAAATGCTATAATAGAATTGGAGAGTGACTTTCTTTCAATTAAAATTTCCATTTTATGTTTTGTTAGATACAGAACGACTAAACGACACTAAGTTTATGGAAAGAAATTTGTCTCAAATGTTGAGGCCTCGTTTGGTGGCTCAGCTTGGACTGCCTTGCACTGGAATAATAATATTGCTAACATTGGGCAGGCCTTGCATCTAGAGGAAGGTTTTAACTAACAAGTGGATGTGTTCCTCCATAGCCAATTGAGTACAATCATTCATTAATTTATCACTCTTTCTTTATTAGCATTGCAAATTATTGTTTTTTTTCCCACAAACACCTCCATCTCTTTCCAAGTCTTCCATAGGGATAATAGGATAATAACATATGAACGTCTCTTCCATGCCACGGATAGATGGTGTGCAATAGACTAGTATGAGTATGAGGGAGTCAAAGTCAGCTTCCTGTAAACATGTTAGAAACTTGATTTTAAAAATATTCTCTAGTATTGTCAGCCACTTGACCTTAAAGAGATGGATTGTTGTGATTGCTTCCATGTTTCTCAGCTAAGCTTTCATTCATGGCTATCATGATCAACTTAATTTTCTTGATCACTATTGGAAGCTTGTGGACCTGTCATGATGCTGCGCAAGCAAAATTAGGGACACACTCAAACCATGAGAGACTCTCAATTCCTCAAGTTCTTTAGTTTCTTCATCTGGGAAGTTCAATTTGGGTTTTGTTCACCCGTTTTGATTTAATCCTGTGATGGTAGGGCAAAGTTTCCCATTGGCCTAAAAACTATTGTTGGTCAACAAGTCAACTTTCTTTTGTGCGTGAGAGTGTCACTGCTAGCAGTTTAAACCCCTAGCAGACTTATAAAAAATAGATAACTTGCACCCCAAGTTACTGATTCTAAACAAGCAATTGTGAATTTGGGTGAGGAATACCTCACAAGTAAGTTTTTTTCTTGCGTCAGACTAGTGAGGATTTCACAATTTTTTTACAGTACAAAAATTGGTAGTTCTGGACAAAATAGATGAAAATAAGACAAACTGTCTAAGCAGAACTTCCTATTATATGACTCAAAAGAGAAATTGCAACTCCGAAAAAGACAACAGAACGTTGGACTTCGATTTCTGTTTGGATAGCTGCCTCTGAACTGGGCTGGATTGGATATGTCTATGCTGGATTGAATCGTCAACACCTTCAACTGATGAGTTTCAGCTATAAATTGATACCACTGTTTGAGTTTGGTAGAGCTTCGATCTATTTCAAGCTCTAGAAGACTTTTTGAATAGGCAGAATTAGGGACTATTTGGTCTGAAGAGGGCAGAAGTGGCTGGATTAATGATCACTGTGCTTGAACTGCATTGTAGTACCTGTTCTGCTTGATCAGGGCTTTCTGTAAATTTGTTGAGGTTTTCATATTGTAAAAAAAAAAAAAAAAAAAAAAGGGACTCTACTTGACTTGGCTTGTACTGAACTAAATTTGTAACGAGAGAAGTCTCGCTTTGTAAAATTGTTTCTCTGAACTGAACTAAATTTAGATATTTGAATTCTAGCTCATTTGTTTCTGGTGGATCAAAGAGCTTTGGTTGTTTTAGTGTCTGAAGGCTTTTTAGATCAGTTGATCTTTTTGAGTTTGTCAATTGTGACTTTGAGAGTTTTTGTCTTGATTGATTTTTTTGGCTATCCTTTGATCTGTTCACCTCCTCTCATATTTATAGAAACTGCTGAAGTGAGGTTTTTAATCTTTAATAATGGACGGCAAATCTTTCAAAAGATCTTTCTTTTTAAATGCCACCAAAAAAAAAAAGGGAAGTTATTTATTCTGGCAGAGAAGAACCATCAACAGTCAGTTCACATGGTGGTCTTTTCCTTGCTTTTCCCTGAAAGAAAACCAACTCCTTTTGTTCTTTGTTTGTTCCTTGTAAAGAGAAAAAACACAATCTGCCATGATGGTCAGTTTGCTTTTCCTGATGAACAACTTTCTTGCTCCCTACTTATCTCTTGAAAACGTAGCTTGCTTATCTCTTGGAAAGGAAACCTTCTTTAGTGTACTCTCTGTATGTGAAAAAGGGATTTGATCTTATTTCCCTGGCTGCAGAAAAAATGGAGAAGTCGTCCTGTAAGATCTGCCTTCATTAACTCCCTATCATTTCCTCTGTGATAGTTGAAAATTTTGACTTTTCCAAAGTTAGAAAGTCACGTGGGGGCTCTCTTGAGTAAAAAGATATCTGCTGACTTGCCTTTTTGGGGTAGAGATCAAGTGGTGTGCATTTTTCAGAAGCTGGGCTTTTATCCAAAACTGTGTGTGTCAGTTTTTAATTGCCAATAATAGTATTTTATTTTTTAGACCATAGCTATATTTGTGAAAAAAGGTCCGGGCTATTTCAGTTTCTTAGTTTGATTTCTAATTCCCATAAATAAAAAGCCCAAAATGTTGACAAAAAATAGGATGGCGCGCAGAATTTTGGCCCAAACAGGTTTCTATGTATAAAATAAAGTCGATGGTTCCAACAAAACCAGCTTTCTAGCTATCCTGAATAGAAAAGTTTCAAACAGCATATGGATTGGCAACCAAGAGACACCAATTATGCACCCTTCACCCGCAGTTCTTACGTTGGACAGGAATAATACATTGAAAATTATACACCAAGGTGGAGATCCTATTGTCATTTGCTCTGCTCCACAAACTATACTAGTAATACTAGTACTAGAAGTGTTGTTGTGGCCACCATTTTGAACAAGGTAACCACTAATCCGTTGTATTAAGATTGCATGGAAAGGAACTTCACTTGCATGACACGTTGATAGTGTGTAGGGCTCGTCAATGGGCCGGGCCGGGCTAGCCCGGCCCAAATTTAACGGGCTTGGGCCGGACCGGGCTTTAAAGAGGAGAGAGAAAATATCGGGCCGGGCCGGGCCGGGTTTTTTTAGAAAATTCAAAGCCCAAGGGTCGGGCTTGAGAAAGCCCAAGGGTCGGGCTTGAGAAAGCCCATTGGGCCGGGCTGGGCTAAGCCCAACGGGCCGGGCCGAAACGGGCCTACTTCATTCGAAAAAAATCATAAACTTAATCATAAGGGCATTTTAGTCTAAATTTGAGATTAAACTCACTTAATTCCAATATTTTCACATCAAACCAAATTCATAAAATACTCAATAAAGTCACACAACTTAATAAGATTTTCCACAAAAATAATAAAACAAAGTATTATTTTTGAGGTTATTACATAATTAGACCATAATACGTTTTAAGAAATAATTTAAAAAAATAATAAGTATCAAAAAGATATTTTTTTTAAAGGATGGTATAAATAAATATGTAAATGTTTGGTGATGTGTTCAAGAAAAACATGATTATATTTGGTGGTAGTAGTACGATTATGTTTCGTGATATGATTATGTTTAGTGATATGATATATTGTTCATCTTATTTATATATATATATATATATAATTGTTGTATTAATAATTGACACAAATTAATGTGCTAATCATCCAATTATAAACTAGGAATGAGTAAAGAAAAGTAAATGAAATGAAACAAATTATATATGTGATTTAAGTGATATAATCTTAATCCTAAACTCTTATTTATACATAATTATATATCTATGCGGGCCTAACGGGCCGGGCTTTTGTGGGTGGGCCGGGCCGGGCTTTCTTGGGCTTAATCGGGCCGGGCCTATGGGCCGGGCCGGGCTTCAGACACCCAAGCCCAAGCCTAGCCCGGCCCAAGGCGGGCCGGGCCATCTCAAAGCCCATAACGGGCCGGGCCGGGCTTTTTTCCAATGGGCCGGGCGGGCCCCCATCGGCCCATGAGCCCGCGGGCCAAATGATGAGGCCTAATAGTGTGTGTGGGAAAAGCTTCCTTCCCCACTATCGCTTGTATAAAAAATACATCAACTACACAGTTGGCTGATGGGGCTTTGGGCCTTGTGACACGTTGCCCCCTCAAAGTTTGTTCAACCAAAATGCATCATATACGTTCAACGATAGTATATGATATTTCACATTGCGTTAACTTAGGATATTAGGTCGTTTTTATAAGTTTAAAAAGGTGTGGGGTTGACTAAAATCCATTTCCAACTAAGAATGATCGGATGTTTATCAATATCAACCTGAATTTAAAATATAAGATGGACACGTAGTGCTATTATATAGAAAATTAATTAAGAATTACTTTCTTTTTTTATCATAAATTTGACTTGGGTTTTCACTTTTTTTTTTATCAGCCTGGTTCAGGTAGTTTCTGCGATTCATACCTACTATTTTTATTAATTGGTCATTAATAAAATAAATTGATAAATAAACAATCAGAATATATGAAAATTATTAGAGTGTAAAACACATTTTGAATCCTCTCCTCCTAACCTGAAAATTATTATTCTTCATCATGATTCAGCACAGATATGGTACGATGAATTTGTTTATTTATTAATTTTATTAGCATTTGAAATTATTATTTTCCCACAAATACGCCTCCAATCAGGAGCCAAGTGCCTTGTGAAGGAAGAAAGGCAAAGAGAATGAATGAAAGAGACTGTCTTCTAAGTGCAGGCATTTTTAATTTTTAAATCCAACAAAAGAAGAAAAGTCTTCATGTCTACTTGTAAGAACTTTATTTAATGTCTAAATGATTGCCGACCGACCGTTGACCTTAGGGATAGTGATCATATTCATGTGTAAATTCTAAGCTATTTCAGCTAAGTTTTCATGACCATCTGTATAAATTAAAGTGAAAGTAGGGCCTGACTTGTCGACATCCATGGCTTCGGGTTTGATGATGATGAGCTCAATTTTCTTCATCATTTTTGCTTCCTTGTGGACTTGTCATGACGCTGCAAGTGACACACTCAAGCCAGGGGACACTCTCAATTCCTCAAGCTCCTTAGTCTCTGCATCAGGCAAGTTCATCTTACGTTTCGTTGTACAAAATATCGACGGTTCGAACACCAGCTATCTAGGGATCCTGCGCAATAAACCAGGAGCAAACAAAGCATGGATTGGCAACAGAAACACACCTATTCCATACCCTTCCTCCCCACTTCTCATCTTGGACTTGAACAACGCATTGAAAATTACATACCCAGGCGGAGACCCTATTGTCATTTCCTCTGCTCCACAAACTAGTGTTGTTGTGGCTACCCTTTTGGATTCTGGCAACTTTGTACTACAAGAAGTGAACTCTGTCAACAAATCGACCAGTGGGGTTTTATGGCAGAGTTTTGATTATCCAACAGACACATTTTTACCAGGCATGAAATTGGGGGTTGACCACAGAAATGGGCACAATTGGTCACTTTTGTCTTGGGCAACAAGCTACAACCCAGCGCCGGGGCCTTTGAGCCTTGATTGGGACCCCAATGGACACCAATTGAGAATCAAGCAAGCTGGGGTGGTTTATTGGTCCAGCGGCATCTTCGGAGATGGAAGATTTGAATTTATTTTTCCTGATGTGTCAAAGCAGAGGTACAATTTTAGCGTTGTTTCAAATGAAAATGAAGACTACCTCACCTACACTGCTGTAGGTGATCCAAGTGATCCTGAGCCAGAATGGGTGCTATACAGCAGAGGGACACTTTTTGAGTATGGAACACAAGTTGCTATTACAAAAGCGCTGAACTGTGATGGCTACAACACAGATGGAGGGTGCGTGAGAAGGGACCGGCCAAGCAGTTGTACAGCGAAATTCGGTGATGAATTTGAGCAAAAAAATGGTTACTTCAAGATCAACAACTCTAGTAATACTTCAAGATCCCCCAACTGGTTTAATGCTAGTAGTAGTGACTGTAAGGTTACTTGTTGGCAAAATTGTGACTGTCTTGGATTTGACCTTCCACTTGCTAATCAGAGTCAGACTAGTACCGGCTGCGAATTTTGGAGTGTAGACTCTCAGTTCTTCGAAGACCTCAATTCAAGTAGCAGGTTTGTTTTGTCAGGACTAGCAACGCCAGCGAAACCACCACCGCCTGCCCAAAAAAATGGTAAGTCTAGCTGCCAAAATTTGATACCTGTACTTCACAAGAGACAATAAATGTGCAATAATGAGCAACAAACATTAACGAGAATCTAAGAGGGCCTAATATATGACTAAATATGTGGCTAATTAATTGTCACTCTGTAGATAATGCAGGACATAAATGGCTGTGGATTGGCATTGCTATTGCGGCTGCTGTCCTTGTAATGGTGTTCTGCATCTTGGGTTACCTGCTAAGAAGAAGAATCTGCTCAGGTACATATAAGCCTCATGTGAACTTGTTAGAAAGAAAAGAATTCACATGTTTCATAATTGTTGTCCCAAATTGAAATTTTAACTTTCTGCACTAATCTAAATAAATAGGCAAGAACAGAGCAATGATACAGAACAAATTGCCTAGCTTCATGAAATCCAATAGATCTGCTTATGATCCTGTTAATGAGCTTCAAAACGATCATGGAAACATGGGAAAACATGATTTAAGCGTGTTTACCTATGAATCTGTTTTGGCTGCCACTTCCAACTTCTCTCAAGAAAACAAGCTCGGAGAAGGTGGATTTGGACCTGTTTATAAGGTAAGGCCTTGCACAATAAAATGTGTCGTGATTTCTTTTCTTTTCTGAAAAATTAAGAATATTGTTGAGAATCTGTTCAGGGAAAATTGGCGAAGGGGCAAGAAATAGCGGTGAAGAGACTTTCAAAACGTTCCGGACAAGGAACGTCAGAGTTTAAGAACGAATTGATACTCATACATGAACTTCAACATACAAACCTTGTTCAGCTCTTTGGATTTTGCATTCATGAAGAAGAGAGGATGTTGATATATGAGTACTTGCCAAACAAAAGCTTGGACTACTTTTTATATGGTTGGGAATTAAGAACACTTTAATCATAGTGCTTGATTTGCTCTGTTATCTGATTTAAATTCACTGTCAAAATATGTAGATTACAAATAGTGTTCTTCGTTAACTCTCTATGTGTGACAGATTCAATCAGAGGTGTGCTACTAGATTGGAAGAAGCGTTTCAATATAATTGAAGGAATCACTCAGGGATTGCTTTACTTGCACAAATACTCAAGAACTCGAGTAATTCATAGAGATTTAAAAGCTAGTAACATACTACTTGACGAAAATATGAACCCGAAGATTTCCGATTTCGGTATGGCAAGGATTTTCACCCACAATGCATTGGAAGAAAATACCAGTAGGATTGTCGGGACACGGTAAGTAAAAATTGTGAGTGTATATATACATTCTTATCATGTCTTCTGCTTTCGGTTGCTAAGCATGCATGTTTGCAGATTTGTACTAATTAAAGAATTTTTTCTTGTCCATTTAATCCAGGGGTTACATGGCTCCTGAGACCATTGAAGGCATTGTTTCTGTAAAATCGGATGTATACAGCTTTGGGGTGTTAGTGCTTGAAATCATAAGTGGCAGGAAAAACAATAGCTTTTACAATGATGATCGTATACTCAATTTAGTAGGATATGTATGTCAAACAAATATCTAACTGAAGTTGTTATTATGTTTTTCTTCCTTTTAAGGTGTGAGATATTCCAGTGATCCTAAATGATGATATTTATCAACTTGGTTTTCAGGCATGGGAGTTATGGAAAGAAAATGCAGGGTTAGAACTAATGGATCCCACTCTAAGCGATTCATGTATCGGGAATCAATTGCTAAGATGCATCCACGTTGGTCTACTATGCGTGGAGGAAAATGCAGCTGACCGACCTACCATGTCCGATGTCATATCTATGTTGACAAATGAAAGCATGCAGTTGCCTAAACCAACAAAACCAGCATATTACACAGAAGGAAATACAGACACTGCTGGTATGGGTAGAAAGGGACTGCAAAATGGATCAATAAATGGTTTGTCCAATTCAGATTTTGGTGCACGATGAAGGAATCAATCATGTTTTCGTGGCTGTAAAAGTGTGATAGTACTTTATGTGGAACTGTTATTTTTGTGAAACCCAGTCAATCTGCTATATATATTGAAATGAACCAATCTTTGTCAATTTGAAAAACTCTTAGGAAAGATGAAGTTAAGGAGCAATTTTTCAGTCACATGTGATCATATCCATGATTTAGACACAATTTGCAACCAAGAAAGTAGAAACTGATATATGCATACATGTTCATAACCAATCATCTAAATCTAAACGCCCACAACATCAGTTATAATGGCTTGTCCATTTCTGATTTTGATGTTGTACTGATCATGCTTTGTGTACCTCAACTACATACACTTCAATAAGATTTTTTTTGTTTTAAGGAAAGAAAAAACAAAAGTTGTACTTTGAGTCTTAGACCTGTTATAGTTTCAAGTCAAGATTAGCAAGTAAATTATCATTGTTAAGTACAGCTTTTCTTTTGTTTATTTCTTATCATTTGAAACCATTGTTTTCTTTTTCCACAAATTAATGCATTCCATCTCTTTTGAAGAAGAGGAGCCGACTACGTGACTTGATCAGAAAGAAAAGACAAAGTCATTGTTGTAATGCAGGTCATTCTAACCAAAACCAAATAGAAAAATCATTGTCAAAACATAAACATGTGAATCAAAAGTCTTCCTGTCATTTCCAAATTTTTAAATTAAAAAAAAAAAACCATTGTTTTCTTTTTCCACAAATTAATGCATTCCATCTCTTTCGAAGAAGAGGAGCCGACTACATGACTTGATCAGAAAGAAAAGACAAAGCCATTGTTGTAAATGCAGGTCATTCTAACCAAAACCAAATAGAAAAATCATTGTCAAAACATAAACATGTGAGTCAAAAGTTTTCCTGTAATTTCCAAAATTTTAAATTTAAAATAAAACAAATATCTTCCAGAAATTGCAAAAAAAATTATTAGTTTCTAAAGAATTTCCTACCCTTGACCACTGTGATACTGGTTTTAACTCCCACACCTCTTGATCATGTTTTTTCAGCCAAGTTTTTCAGGGTCTTGTGGTCATCCATGGCTACAGCTTTGATGATGAACTCAATTATCTTCCTCATTTTTGCATGCTTGTGGACTTGTCAGGATGCTGCAAGTGACACACTCAAGCCAGGGGACACTTTCAATTCCTCAAGCTCCTTAGTCTCTGCATCAGGCAAGTTCATCCTGCGTTTCGTTGTACAAACTAGTTCGAACACCAGCTATCTAGCTATCCTGCGCAATAAACCAGGAGCAAACAAAGCATGGATTGGCAACAGAAACACACCTATTCCATACCCTTCCTCCCCACTTCTCACCTTGGACTTGAACAACACATTGAAAATTAGTCAAACAGGTCAAGATTCTATTCCAATTTTCTCTGCTCCACAAACTAGCGGTCCCGTTGTGGCTACCCTTTTGGATTCTGGCAATCTTATAGTACAAGAACTGAACTCTGTGGATGGATTGACGAAACGGGTTTTGTGGCAAAGTTTTGATTATCCAGTAGACACATTTTTACCCGGTATGAAATTAGGTGTTAACCGTAGTAATGGCCACATATGGTCACTTTTAGCGTGGGCAGGTACATACAACCCAGCTCCAGGACCTTTCACTCTTGATTGGGAACCCAATGAGCGCCAGTTGAAAATCAGGAAAAGTGGGGTGGTTTATTGGACAAGTGGAGTCTTAAGATCAGATGGGAGATTTGAATTTATTTTGCCAAATGAGTCCAAGCAGAGGTACAATTTTAGCATTGTTTCAAATGAGAGCGAAGAGTGCCTCAAATACAGTGCTGTAGATGATCAAAGTGAACCTGAACCAGAATTGGTGCTATACAGCCAGGGGAAACTTCTTGACTATGGGGGACGAGTTGATATTGTACTAGCACTTAACTGTGATGGCTATAACACCGATGGAGGGTGCGTGAAAAGGGGCGATTGTGTGGCCAGAGTTGGTGATGACTTTGAGCTCAAAAATGGTGTCTTTAAACCCATGAATTTGAGCTCAAGATTCCCATACTGGTTTGATTCAAATATAAGCCACAGTGGTACTATAAACGCCTGCAAGGCTACTTGTTGGAACAATTGTACCTGCCTTGGATTCAACTTTCCAATATCAGATAATCAGACTACTGGTAGTACAGGATGTCAATTTTGGAGTGTAGACAGTGAGTTGGTCGAAGAAAACACTGGATCGAGTACTGCAACTAGTAGCTTTGTTTTGTCAAGTTTAACATCGCCACCAAAATCACCACCTCACAAAAATACTGGTAATTCTAGCTATGTATCTTTTAATACATTGAACTTAAGCACAAGTCCAATTTCAACTGGTATATTTTTGATGCAGGACAAAAGTGGATATGGATTGGCACATCTTCTACTGGTGCTGCTCTAATGCTTTTAGTCTTGTGCCATCTGCTACGAAGAAGAAGATTGGCACTTTCAACTGGTATATTTCTTTATAAGCTTTTGTCCTCTAGTTTTACATCATTGACTTTTGTTGTCCACAAATTGAAATCATAACTTTCTACACTATCAATCTAAATAGGCGAAAGCAGGACAAACATTGAGAACGAAATGCTCAACTTCATGAAATCTAATAGACCTACTGATCATGTTGGACTTCAAAATGATGGAAAGATGGGACATCAGGACCTAAGTGTATTTAGCTATGCATCTGTCTTGGCTGCCACTTCCAATTTCTCAGATGAAAACAAGCTTGGAGAAGGGGGCTTTGGACCTGTTTATAAGGTAAATTTTTAAATTACAAAAGTATTTTCTATTTGTTATTCAAAAGCTGATGAACATGTAGGTTTTCCCTTTTTGAAATGGCTGGGAAATATTATGGATTATTAATTCAGGGAAAATTGGCGACGGGACAAGAAATCGCTGTGAAGAGGCTTTCGAAATGTTCAGGGCAAGGAACCGCAGAGTTCAAGAATGAGTTGATGCTCATATATGAACTCCAACATACAAACCTTGTTCAGCTTTTTGGGTTTTGCATTCATGAAGAAGATAGGATGTTGATATATGAGTACCTGCCAAACAAAAGTTTGGACCACTTTTTATTTGGTAAGGAATTAAAGATACTTGATTTTGATTTGTTATATTTGTTATCTGATTTTTATTCTACTGTCAAAATTCAAAGATTACTACTATTAATTTTAATCTTACTTAACTCTACATATTGGACAGATCCAAACAGACGTCTACTTCTAGATTGGAAGAAGCGTTTTGGTATACTTGAAGGAATCGCTCAAGGGTTGCTGTACCTGCACAAATACTCAAGAAAGAAAGTAATTCACAGAGATTTAAAAGCAAGTAACATACTGCTTGATGAAAATTTGAATCCCAAAATCTCCGATTTCGGTATGGCAAGGATTTTCACCAATAATGAATTGGAAGCAAACACTAGTAAAATTGTCGGAACACGGTAAGTAAACAAATTTCTGCATACACACTCTTATTCTGCTGTTGGTTAAACGTGCATTTTTGAAGATATATGCTAATCAAAGCCTTTTTCATTTTCATTTGGTGCAGTGGTTACATGCCTCCTGAGTCCATGGAAGGAATTGTTTCCGTAAAATCTGATGTCTACAGTTTCGGGGTGTTGATTCTTGAAATCATAAGTGGGAGGAGAAACAACAGCTTCTACAATGATGATCGCGCGCTCAGTTTAGTAGGATACGTATGTCAAACAACTCTCTGCATTTATAATACTCTACATTTTCTTTTTCTTAATCCGAAAAATGTTATTTCAGGCATGGGAGTTATGGAAAGAAGGTGCAGGACTAGAATTAATAGATCCAACTGTAGGTGATTCATGTATTAGCGATCAAGTGTTAAGATGCATCCATGTTGGTCTGTTATGTGTAGAGGAAGATGCAGCAGATCGCCCCACCATGTCAGCTGTAGTATCTATGTTGATAAATGAAAGCACACCATTAGCCTTACCTACAAAGCCAGCATTTTTTGTTGGAAGGAAATTGGTGGAGGCTGGTGTAGGTGGAAAGCAACCTGAAATTGCATCAGTGAATGACTTGTCGAATTCCGATTTTGATGCACGTTGAAAAAAGTATGATCTTCATATGGTGCTCGCTTGAGTTCCCTATATTAAAAAGATTATTATGTTATTTACACATATTTCTTGTGGATTAAGTTATTGTAATAATGAAATAGAGTCGTATGCAATACATGTCGTTTTAACTCATTTCATTCTAACTCAAGTGGTTAAAAATCTTCTATCTAAGAACTCGAAATCATATGTGTTCGGTTATTCACTCTTATGATATTTCGTACACATGAAAACAACTCCTAATGACTTGAACCAAGTGTCAGAGAGAGATAACAACAGGGAAAAATGAGAGTGAAGGTTGACATTAATTGCTCATCAATCAAGCCAAATCTAATTGATTGTCCTGATCAAAGTTTGCAACAGAATCTACATAACATCCAGACCGTTGTTTTATTTCAACGGTTGGGGTTTAAGTTTGGGCCGATGGAGCTATTTATCTCGGCCCATGAACCAAACCTATAATAAATAAAGCCCAAAGCAGAATCCAACCACGTAAACAAAGCCGCAACCCAAAACGCAGCGCCGCATCGTGGAATTTCATCAGAGGCGGGTGTCCTCAAAGCGAAGAAAGAAGAAGCTCCAGGGAGATAAACAAAACAAAAAGAGAAAAAGAAGAGAAAAAGAAGAGCCAGAGTATAGGAAGGAAGAGAGCAATCGGAGAAGGAGAGCGTAGTGGCGTCGACCAGACGGTCTAGATCCACCGGTTTTGTGGATCTGACGACCCAAAACCATGGCTTCCAAAGGTCCAAGGTCGAAGCTTGATCATGAGACCAGAGCTAAACGCCACAAGGTTGGCTTCCCTACATAATACTATTGCATTTTTGTTGAAATCTGAATTTTTGATGAGCTAGAAGTGAATAACTAGTTGTTTTTCTTATGAATTCTTAAAATGCCACTTTTTTATTTCTTTTTGTTAAACCAAATATGTACTGTAGTTTTTTTTTCCCTCGTATATGGGACGCAAAAGTTGAAGAGGATGAATAAATTGAAGTAAAACAGTGTTTCTTTGGAATGGGTTTGGCCGCAAAAGTCATAACATAACCCTTGTTTAGAAATAAAGTTAAAATGTCCTTTGACTCTTAACCAAGTGTAGAAAGACGAAAAAAGAACGTTAGTTCTATGCAAAAATGAAGAGAAATTGAGGACACCTTTTCATAGTGGAGATTAAGCATGCAAACCAATAACAGAATATTGGGTTCTCATGTTTTTTCCTATAGTTATATGATTTTTTATGATATTCCAACTACGAGCTGGGGAGACCTTTTATACTTTTCTTTTCACTATGTTATCGTACAAATATCCAACATACTAATAATATCTTACCCTGTACTGAAGAATTCTTTTTTGCATTAGGCCAATGTGTGTTAAGATTTTGATGATATAATGAAGATGTTTGAGGATTTACTGCTTATTAGTTGCAGCAAGCTTCTATTTGGGCTATTGAGAGTCAAGTTAGCTAGGTGATGAAGATTAAGCTTCAGGAATGCATGCTACTCTATTAGCCGAAGCATGCTTCTATTTTAGTCATTTCCTTTCAGATTTGTAAGTTGAAATGTTTCCTTCACTAGAACTGCGCAACAAGATTGCAAGTAGGCAATGATGTATCGGGCTCAAGTCCTAGCAAAGTGCATTGACACCCATTGTGTGGGCTGGGTTTCGTAAAAGTCTTGGCTTACGGTGCATCTTGAACTAAGTGAAACATCAGCACTTATATCTTCAATGGTGAACAGCGTGGAGATGTTTCTATTTTTTTTTTAAATCTAGGGATGATTTTATTGAGAATTTCAAGACAGATAAAGTAGAGCAATGACGTCCAGAAAAGGTTGGTTGGGTGTCTTGGCTTGAGAGGAAACCCTTCCAAATCTTTGTGTTTTACAATGTTTCTGATTGTGGGGATTTGACAGATTACTATTTGTTGCAAAGTGATAAAGAATTTTCCTGTGGATGAGTCGTGCTTGGACAAATTCTTCTTTCTGTGGGTTTTGTTTCAGCTTTAATGGGAATTACTGGTTTTCAAAACAGATATCTGTACTCTTCTTGAAGTATCATTACTACAGAGGGTGGTCAGATAACTTTAATCATTGATACAATAATTGGTTTTTATATTAGGACTTAGGATTAAACTGCTCTCTGGATTGACATGATGCAACAAGGGATCTTGAGTATAATGGTTTGAATGTTGTATGCCTTCAAGTTTCAATAAAACTATTTGGAGCTTTCTGAATATTTTTTATCACATGCACATGCTTGTAATGTTCTTCGGACTCCATGTTCCTTGGTGATGATAACATTCTACATATTGAAAACAGTTAGTAATTTGAATGCATTGCTGCAATCCTTTTCTTATTCTACTCATTTTGACTAACTTAACTATGATAGGCCCTTGAAGCTCCGAATGAACCTCGTCGGCCAAAGGCTCATTGGGATCATGTTTTAGAGGAGATGATATGGCTTTCCAAGGTAATTTACTAATATATGCCTTGAAGATCTGGCAATTTATGTTGTTGGAAATTCTGGACTATAGTCATCTGCTTGTATGATTGTGCTTTATTATCTTCAGATCAAGTATTATGTTGAAAAGTGTGATATATTTTCAATTATGTTGAGAAATGTGAGACAAAAGGTTTTATATTCCTTGCTTATGAAACTAGTTGTTACCAGGACTTTGAGTCAGAGAGAAAATGGAAATTAGCTCAGGCGAAGAAGGTTGCTTTAAGAGCCAGCAAAGGCATGCTAGATCAAGCTACGAGGGGAGAAAAAAGAATGAAGGTTCTGTTTTTCCCTAACTGAAGTAAATGTACATTTGTCATGCTCACATTTTAGAACAAATTTATCTCAATTCTCATGTTACACGAAATTGGTTCATATAACACTGGCATGCTTATTTTTCTTGCAACAATGTGAATTTCAATTTTGATCAGGAAGAAGAGCTGCGGTTAAAGAAGGTTGCCCTCAGTATTTCAAAAGATGTGAAGAAGTTCTGGCTGAAAATAGAGAAGCTGGTAAGTTTATATTTGCTTTGTCAATCAAGTCTCCAACTTATTTGGTTTCTCTTTATTAATTTAATCAATTAATTTCTTTATAGTTAGGTCCCTGACTGTATATACACAATATGTAATCTAGGTGCTTTACAAGCATCAGATGGAACTTGATGAGAAAAAGAAAAGGGCACTTGATAAGCAGCTTGAGTTCCTTCTAGGGCAAACTGAGAGGTAAATACGTTTTCTTGGTTAATTGATATAATCTGAATTTTCGTTATTTGCTGTATACTACCTTTGATTTCTGGCTATTTTCCCGGTGAACTGAATGGAAGTATGTTGTGCATGAAACTTCCAGGTACTCAACAATGTTGGCAGAAAATCTTGGGGACAGTTACAAGCCTGTGCAGCAATATCCCATACAAAATCAACTGAGTATTCAATGCAAAGAGATGGATGAAAATGATATTAACAAATCAACTGAATTTAATGCCGGTAAGTTGAAGGTTGTAATTTCATTGCTGTTATTCGCTTACCTAGGAAGTTTATTTTACTTTTCTTTAATAACCAAAATAATTCACTCTTACACGTTTTAAGCAGATCCTCAGTCAGATACAGTAGACGGTGATGATGATTATGATGTACAATCAGATGATGGAACAGTGAGTCTTTCCTTTCCTTGTATATTCTGTAATTATATGATATCTCTTTCGAACTCAATTTGTTGGTATGCAAGTACATGATAATAATGTCAATCAGCCAAGGAACTCTATGCATATTAGAAAATATCAAGTAGAAGAATTCAGAGCACTCAGGGGCTAGTTTCCAGCAGGCATCAGCTGACGCCTTCTCTTTGTTTTTCCTTTTCTTTGATTATTGCTCAAGAAAACAGTTGTATGAAGATGTAGGGTTGGCTGTAGAAAATTGTGGTGGGCTGGTAGCCTTTTCTAGTACTCTTATTTCTTCACACTAGGAATAATATACAGACATAATTTTTCGCATGTTAGAATAAATAGAAAGAAAAGTAATCCTTTAGAATAAAAATAATAAAACTCAGCTGTCATTTATAGGAGGTTACTGTTGCTGCTGCATGAATGGTTGCTCACGATATTTATTGGCCATATGATCAATCATGTCATATCAGCTAACACTCTCCAATACTCAGTATTTTGAACTAGATCCGTGCCTGCCACCCCTCACTCAGGGATGTTTAGCGAGCATGAAAGAAGCGTAGTTGGTAAAGTAGTTGACCACAACTTTAGGTAATCCAGAGATGAAGTCTATAGTTAAACTGACCCATGTTTCTGCCTAACAGCGCAACTGTTTTCTGGTTGGGAAACTTCTATAGAATCAAATGAACCCTAAACAATCTTGTGGAATTTTTTTTTCATGAATTTTTGGAAATGAGATCTGACCACAATAAGGTTGGTAATAAAAGACATACGACCTATGTTTTCTAAATTTGCAACTTGAATATGCACCCTCATGTTCTATTAATGTGAGTTTTATACATATATATGCTAGTTAGAGTACATTTCTATCTGTAAACTGTTATATTACCTGAATGTCTACTGCCAAAATGTATTAGTTTCCTTAGCATGTTTGCAAAGGCTGCCCTGTGTCCTCTATTGTATTTTGAGGTCAGACTGTCCCGCCTTGTGGATTTAAACAATCTTTTGATACTGCTCTTTATATATAATTTCTATTCTTAACAGATGTTTTCCTGCATGATGATGCTGTTTTAGGAAGATGATGAATGCACTATTGAGGAAGATGAGGCTCTTTTTACTGAACAAGAAAGACAGGAAGAATTGGATGCTTTACAAAATGAAGTAGATCTTCCACTTGAGGAGTTACTCAAACAATATCCTATGGAGAAAGGTGAATGGTTATAATGTTTTGCACAATTATACTTTGTTTAATTTATGAGGGGCATTTTGGGTGCCATAAATATGGGTCTGGAACTTTTCAAACAATTTACCCCCCATGTAGGTCTACTAGATGACACCTAGATTTC